GTGCTCTTATTAACGAGGTGTGACTGTTTGCATGCACATGTCGTCACTTCTTTCGCCTTTTAATCTGTTTATTTGAAGTGGAATCATTGCCTTTACTTGTGGATGGTTGCCAAGGCAACATAAATCTTAAATGCATGTCTGCATTAGCAGTGAGACAGAATAAAAACATAGGATCTTCAAAGCAGCAACTATATAATCTATTGTTCTCCAGTTGAGGTTAGAATGAAACTACAGAGTAAAGTCATGTCTAAAAGGTACGGGTGTGGCTGTAAATAACACATGACCCTGTGGGATTGGCTGGATAGAGACTATCTGCCCTGATCTGAAGTGCGCCCTCACCAGGGAAAGAAAGACAAATGGTACTAGGTTTTCCAAACAGGTTCAAGCACGGGTTCAGCGTGCACGCGAAGACCACACATTCTAGACTAAAATCGTTGCGCGTACTTGGCGTGTTCCGTGTCAAATGTGCACAAACTTTCGCAGCTGTGCAGTGCGTGAGTACCAAAGGACTGTCAATTTCATTTCAAAACACACCCTCTTTTGTTCCAGCTCGGAGCGGATAGCCAGTTCTTATTGGTGTAGATAAGGCTCCAAGCCACAGCCGTTTGATTTAGACATAGCCTCATGTTTGATATCACAGACTTGTCCAGTAGCACAACAGCATAGTCGTCAAGTCAAATGTTTCCTTTTTCTATATGTGCCGAGTTTATCCGAATTTGTATAGACCTATGCTAATTGCAACAATTATCCACTTGTAAACTAGTCAACTTGCTGATAAATACAACCAGACAAACATCAAAGCATGCAAGAAGAAGATGAATTTTCAAATTTGATTAATTCTACACTATTGATATCTTTCCTAAGTCTTGCATTTTGAAAGTATTTCATAAAGTGTTTATGTAGTAAATGAAAGATAGAAGCAGTTTAATTGCACAACAGAGGTATGATGCTTTCAACATTATAACTGGCTTTTTGACCATTTGCTTTGCTTTGAGTATTGATTTTTTGGTGGTTTGGGCTTGTGTGCGAACATATTTCCTCAATTTTTAGGTATCTTAAAAGGAAAAAATTACTGGGATCATAGCCGGATACTACGCATTGATAAGCAAATAAAGACAAGTCTGAAATCTAAAGGGAGCTTGGGCAAAGTGGAGCTTGATATGGAGCAGTTTGTACATAAGTGATCGAGAGGTTGGTTCCAGTCTTCTGCCGTGCCAAGCATCAAAGGAATAGGTAAAGCAGAATTCAGAGAGGGCCAGGTTTGTCTTGCTTTATTCTTAACCCTCGTATGGTTTTACAGCACAAATGTGCACAAATGCCCACAGTCACTGGTGAGCATGTAGTTTCTATGTGGAACTCAATCATGAACAGGTTCAGTGTGTACANACTGCATAATTATGCACATGGAACAGTGAAGCACAGTTCTTGGGCGGCACAAAAGTGCAATCTGATATTCCTGTGAGGGACAGTTAGTGTAGTGCACAACACAGCTGTTTCTTTGAGGTGTTCACCAAATGACCCAAAGAGTGACTTCAGCATAGGAGGGTTAATGAATACAAGCTGCAAATGTTTACCCAAATCACATTGTGTATATGATATACAAAACACCAGCCAACATTTTGTCTAACTGTAATTTTACAAAGGGACCATTTCTCATTAAAAATGGGTTCCTGAAATGTGGATTTCCTGTTGATTTACAATGTTATTAGGTGTCGGGTGTAATGTGTGAAATACATTGAGTGGTTTCAAGGGTACAGTTTGTTTATTCATTTCTACTTTGAAGATGTCGTCTTGTCACTGAAGCTAAATGAACCATTTTTGATGGCATGCAAATGAAGAGGGAAATCATGAATTTGCATGGTAAAGCCCGAAAAACAAATTTGGCAAGGTCAAAATTTTGCTAAAAACTGCTGGAGTCCATGTATTTTTGTCCTTTGCTCCAATTTGATTGAGAAGCCAAAAACGATTGAAAAGATCTCAATTGTTGACGTTCATGATCTTTTGCACACCATTATATAAATTACAGGCTGGGATTTGGGATTATGCACATAGAAGTATTCATGGTCTTTGAAGCTGATAATGTTATTTTGAAAATATTGCTCTTAAGCTTTCGCCATAATGTGGGGATGCCCTGTTCCTGCGTGTACTTAAATGCTGATGCTTTTTCGTTTTACATTTATTTCGTATATAAAATGCGATATTATGTGGTCTTGTGGCAGCAAATCAATAAACATTACAGTATACCAAAGATGTTTGCTTGAATTTGTGTGCTTTTTGTTAGGAGGGTGGTAATTTTTGTGTCCTTCATGTATGAACTTTAGTTGATAAAGAAAAACGGGAACTGGAATTCTGGAAGTCGAGATAGGTTTTCTGTAAGGGTGTGTTATGGTAGTGCACGTTCGATTATATGTATATGTCAACTGTACAGTAATACATGCATTTGGTTGATCTGTTGCACTGACATCTTGAAGGGTCAGATTCGATAGTGTTCAAAAGGCCAAGCCTACAACAGGTGCGTACGAATTTAGTATTTTTTAAAACTTATTTTGGGGCAATACAAAGAGCACAAGATATAGAAAATTACAAATAGAAAACAAGCCCATGGATCACTCAAAAGCGAAATACATCACTATACAAGTAAAAGGAGCTGTCTGAACAGACAAATATCACACACAAATAATTAAGGAACAAAAAATTACCCCTCCCCCACATCTATTGCCTAATACATTTATATAAAAAATGCATTCAGTTTGATTGCATTTTATCTTATTACAATAAAAACAAAATATTAATAAATTCATTTGTTTTAAGTTAGTTTTAAAGTCAATCTTTTCACTATATTCAAAATACTAGGGCATTTGTAAATCACTGTCCTCCAGCCCCCCCCCCAGGATGGAAAAACGTTAAACGCTAGTCATTGGTACATACCACTAAACATGTACGTTAGAGAGGCTCAAAACAAAGAAATGACCGCTTTCTTCAGCAACTTTCGAGTTCTGAGTCCTTTAGTTCTGAGTCTAGATTTTTGTATTCCCAGTCAGATTCAAATCAGAATATCAACAACTGTGTTTCGGAATTGAGCAATGTACAGGGTGTGTACTAGAAATAAATTTACAATAAATTGATTTTCCACCCCTATAATCGAATGGGAGGAGCCATTGTTGATTGCGCACGTACGTACGTACGTGCCGCGCCGACCCGCTGGATTACATGGGTACGTGCATAATAATGCGTGGTACATGCTTGGTGTGTAGGGATATGGATAGGATGTAGGCCCAGCCGTTTTTCAGAACGATTGACGACGTGCACTGACACACGAAACTACCAAAACCAGGTAGGAAAATATACCTTTTCCGTCTATGCATTCAGATTGCTATCATATAGTTTCATCCCTTTGTATTTGGGATGATCATGGGCGAGTTTTGGGGCACAGAGTTCGCGGGGAGTTTGTCATTGGCTAGTGACTGCTTGTCCGATTGCGGTGTGATTGGACGTCGCCATCTTTCATTGTGTCGATTGGTCAACCTGTCGTCGGCGAAGTCTCGCTGGTCCCCTGCGCGCATCGTTCCCTGCGTTTGGTGATGCTATACGTCGGCTGGCAACCAGCTGACATTGTCCCGATTCTTGGAGCGGATTGGGCACAGAAATTAAGAACAGCCGCACTTTTAGCTAATCAAGGAATTACTATAACCTAAAAAGTATCAACTTGGGAATTGGATGTGAACTGCATTTGTTATTTATTGGTGAAGCTACTAATTGGAAGATGTTATTGCTGAATTTATCCCTACATTTATCTTGTTTCCATGCTTTCCCTCGTCTTTGGTCAACTCAACTTTAGTTTTCTCTTTTCATAAATCCCAACCCAGTATTTATGTCGCATGTACATGTAATACTTATAACATGTAATTGAGCCTCCTCTCTGCCAACTGTCAATTACATTTTATCTGATTTGTCGTATATATTTATACAACATCTATTATGCATGGATTTTTTTATTTATTGTGTCTTTATTGCTAACTCCTTATTTACTTAATTCAATCAATTTCTTACATCATTTTCACCCCTTTCCATTTTTATTTCTACTTTTATTCATTTCCATTGAGTCGTCTCCTTTTGTTTCTTTTATATCGAAATATTCATACGTTCTAATGTATTTTAATTTTCTTACTTGTATTTACTTATTTATGTATTTACTTTACACTTACCTTGATGAGGAGCAGCAGGTCTTCTTCTCATTTTAAGTCCTATTTCAGCCTCCTGTTAGCCAATTATTCTTTAGATTTTCAGTGCATTTGTTGTATACTTACCTACTGTTTCCTTACACATGTATTATTTGTATTTAAACTAGTTATTATGTCCTCCTTTATTGTGTCATTATTATGAATTTCTTATTAATTAACTTATTTAATTTCATATTTAATTGCTTACATTATCTTTATTCATTTGCAGTAATTCCTTTTCTTGTATATTTAAATATTTTGTAAGTTCTAACTATTGGCTTCAAATACTTCTATATTTTAGTATTTTATTAATATTTATTTACTCAATACACAGCTTGATGAGGAGTGGCAGGTGTTTGGCCACACTGATTGTTATTGCTTTTGCCTCTCCTATGCCCAGCTTGTATGTGATGAAAAAAAAAATGAATAAATGATAAAATTTGTGTTAGATTTTAGATGATCATCTATGATTTCTCGAGTTTAAATTAGATTACTATCATTATAGGTTTTGTAATCGTAGGAGTAAGTTCTTATCATTTTACAGTTTTTCAAAGGTCAGTTGTAGATTGACAGATGAAACAATAGCATATTAGCAGCTTTTCGATCAGATACAGACCACAGTTTGAAAAAAAACACAGCTTGGAAAGGGATGCTGATGCTTTCAGATATACTATCAAGTTAACTTTTTTCCTATTTAAAAGTTCTGTTCGCATCAATACATATTTAGAGTTGAACAATTAATTTTGGAAAACCTCCACATTTCTGATGTATATCTTGAACTAATTTGCAGTTAGTGAGTAATGTATCTTATTTTGTTCAGTTAGAAATGGAGGAAGCCACAACCTCAGAAGAACCATCCTCAGCCTTGCAGGCTCATGAGAATTTCTGGATTACACAGACAGAGAATATCAACAATATGAAACATGTAAGTTACATCTTTCATATCACAGTGCTATTCAATGCCCAACTCGCTAAGCCTTGTTGATGATTTTAGTGTGACTGTGAAAAACAAACCATCTTTGTATTTTCCAGAGTGATTTCAAGACACAGGAATTACCTCTTGCAAGAATTAAGAAGATCATGAAACTTGACGAGGAGGTGAAGGTAAAATAAACTTTGTCATTGTTTTTTCAGGCATTTGAAAGAGAACTTAATTACCAAAACAAAAAAAGAAATCCGTGTGATAGAAATTTGGAAATGTCAAAATGACTGTGACACAATGTTACATTCAGTAGAGAAAATGCCTACAGACTAAAGATTGTGCAAGAAATTGTGGTGAACCCCTACATAACTGCTTTGTTAATAATGACATCTATTTGGAAATTATTACTTCTTTTTCTCCAGATGATCAGTGCAGAAGCACCAGTTTTGTTTTCCAAGGCAGCTGAGATGTTTATCTCTGAGCTCTCACTCAGGGCTTGGTTACACACAGAAGACAATAAACGACGCACGTTACAGGTACATGTACATACATGGCTGCTCAGTCGTATGCAAATTTAATTAACTTTTAATTTCTTTCCCATAGAGAACTTGGTCTTTGGTTATTTATTGTGGTTTATTAATTTTAAATCTTAATTTTACATGAAAATCTATTGATATAGTTCAGACATTTTAAGAAATAGTTGTAAAATGGAACATATAAAAACATGGTAATAAAAAAGATTCTTGATTGAAATGGTGAATCTGGAAAAATGTTTTCTGTGAATTGATGAATCCCAAATTTTGGTAGTCAATTTGAGTAACAGTGGAAGCTATGTGATTATGCCCGTCCATTGACATGGCTGTGGAGAAATAAGCTTCTAGGAGCAGCAATTTATCGTAATTTTTTTATTATATTCCCTTCAATTTTTCCCCAAATCCAAATAGAGGAATGACATTGCCATGGCTATCACCAAGTATGACCAGTTTGATTTTCTGATTGACATTGTGCCAAGAGATGAGCTGAAGACAACGAAGAGAACGGTAACTTTGTGCCATTTAACAGAAGAACAGAAAAAACGGAAAAACCTTGCTTTGTTTTCCGACAAGTTATTATTTGTGCTTTGAGCTGATTGTATGTACTTCAAATAAACAGTAACCGTGCAATCATACTTAGAAAGATTTTTTTTCTACTTGTGCTTTGATTGAACTGCAATGTCCTTCAGTTTTCAACTTTGGGGAAATTTTCAATTGAATTGGTTTTGCTGTCATGTTATATGCCCTCACCTTGGTTCTAGGACGGCCAAGTTCAGCAGGCAGCTATGATGCCAGAACAGGTCCAGTACTATTTCCAGTTGGCTCAGAGCCAATCTACTCCGACATCTACTGCCACAGTGACCCCAAGTCCAGCAGCTGTCATTCCTCAAAATCTTGGCACTCTCATCGCTACCACACAACCTCAACAGGTATCTAACTAGTAGCAATGATCATGTGTGGGGGGGGAGTCACAGAGTCACTGGTGAGGTCAAGGTTCAACATACAAGGTCTAACAAAAAGAATCATAGTATTACACATGCACCAAAAAACATACTAGGACTTGAAGCTGTGCTTTGCTGGTGCCTTCGAGGCTGTTCTTTGTTATTTTAAGTTAATTTCAATGAATACACAAAAGGTCCTTGCCCTCCAACTCCCCATTAATACCTAAGCACTATACTGCTCCTGCCTATCTAGTCTTTCCCCAAGACCACATTAAGCGCGTGCCATGCAGACTGGTTTTCGGCAGTGCGTATGGGCAATTATTTATAGTAACAAGCGTGTAAGGTATGCTCAGAATTGTTTGGGGAATGCCAGCCAGATTCCACAAGACTGGTTTTCTGGCAGTTTGTCTCTTGTGAATACAGCACCCTCTACTGGTTCTGCTATTTGGCTGTGCTCATCAGCACATGTCGCCTGCACGGTGCAGCGTCCAAAACAGTAAAACCAGTCTCGGGGCAAAACTACTTCCAATCAATCAGCATGATCCAAATTGAGTATATTGAAATGAGAATGAAACCACACGGTTTGAGATGCTTCCTCGTCTATGCTTTCCCAGCATCAGGCATGCCCTTGTTGGTTGCGTATCCTTCGTGGGATGGACAAGCAGTTTAATTTCCTAAGAATGGACGGTTGACGTCCTGAAGTAATCTTTATTTCCCTCCGGATGATCAGCAGTTACAGACTGTGCAGGTATCGGGCAATGATTCCCAGGTATCTACCACTCAGCTCATCTCGGCCCAAGCAACGCCCATACAGCTGCAGCAAACGGGACAAGCTACTGGTAACATCCAGCACATCATCACCAACACAGGAGAGATCCAACAGGTACAGGCATGGTTGAAGTGGTCAGGGAATAGGTATGGGCTCAGGGAATGGGGCAAAGGGACAGGAATGGGCACTAGGGGTCAGGGTAGAATCGGTGTAGGCCCAGGCAAAGGGGGTATCCCTAACACACTCTCCACAGTTGTGGGAGTCCATAAAGATTTTTTCTTTTCTTTTTTTTTTTTCGACAGGTGCAGTTACCTGTTGGTCAACAAATACAGTATGTCCGGCAGACACAGGGCCAGCAACAGCAGGGTATACAGCAAACAGGACAAGATTTTGTCACCCAAATCTCTAATTCACAGGTAAATGTACATCCCTCACTTGCCCTCATTCTCAGAGAACAAGTACAGCCATTAGGCTGTTTGTGCAACTGATGTTTGCTTTAATACCCTTCAGAGAGCTTTTGTTTATTTGTGATGACCGACCAGTTGGTGCTACCAAAGTCACCTTGGCAATCACATGGCACAGAATTAATTGCCATTTCAAGAAGCATCCATCATACAGGAAGCCTGTACGTGTAGTCCATTATTTCCACATTGCCACAGACTTTCATCCTGTGACAAGACAACAGGTGCTATATGCCTGTAAAGGCCCACATTTCATGAGTACATTCCTTGTTGGTTCAGTGAGGTGGGGCTCTTGTCTTTAATATTCAAATTTACAAAAGCACTGGGGGAAAAGTCATTTTGGTGAGACCATTTTTGTTTGTTTTGGACAGCCTCCAATCTACCAGATCCAGACGCAGGCAGGAACGCAACAGGTTTTCCTTCAGCAGCCAGCCACGACGACATCAGCCACAGCACAGTAACTTAAGTCTTGGTAGATTATCATCCTAGAAATATTCAACCTATTTGGTTTATTGGGGATGTGTGATATTTCACGCAAAGCTTCATTATAAAGATTGAGTTTTAGCATTCAGAAATAAGTAAGGGGCATTTTTTTAGCTATTTCCTCAAAAGTGTTTCGATCAAACAAAAACCTGCAACAGAATGCTATATTTGTGTGTTGATAATGGATAAAGCTTACATACCAACCATTTTTATCATTCTGAACTTTCTGACAGTCTGTATGCATGGTACCCAATCTCCTTTATCATACCTCTGGAGGAAGACTTCAAAAGGAGACCTTATACTATTAAAACCATAAAGGCTTTCTGTAAAATGTGGATGAAGCCCTTTCAAATACCCCCAAATATACCTGACACGCAAATAAGTGGATATAGAAATGGTGGAGTAAAACTTGATTGGCATATACCACATTGGTGTCACTTGGATCCAAAATGTGACTGAAAACCACCAAGGTTTTTAGGCTAGGTATTAAATATTTGCAGAGGTAAGTATATCTGTGTTAATTTTGAGTTTGTTTTGAATTGCAAACATGAGTCAGAGGCAAGGCAGTTGGAAATATTAAAAATATCAAAACTTGAACAAAACTGATCTTTGAAATTTTGTGTTGCAAAAACTGAAAGTTAACGTATGCCAGAGCAGAAACACATGGATTATGTACAAAGACATAACTTTGTAAATAATGGCACTCCTTGCCTTGCAATAATATTGTCAATATCTGGTTCTTTATTGTTCCAACATTAGCTTCAGTATGTTAACCTTATCACAACTCCTGTTCAGTGTTCGTAACACGAGCCCTCTCCACCTCTCTACAATACATGTAGAGTAATTTCTTGGATTAGGCAAAGCAGAGAACTTGGTGATTACCTCACAATTAAATGCATTTATCTTTGAGGACAGCAAAAGTCTTAAAAATAAAGTGCACATTACTGTAGTTTATCTGTACGTATGCTCTGCAACTAGGTTGCTGTACTGCAACGTCTTTTTTTACCATTTAGCTATGGCATTACCCAACTAATACAGCTAAGTTATATTTGAAATACTTTGAATAAAAACTCGAGCTCTTGGAAATGATGGGTTTTATTTGTGGCTTAAGCAAGACTGCTTTTGTGCACCGTCGGAATTCTTTTTTCTGTGGAAGGTACACAAAATAGGAATTTTAAAACAAATATATTCAAAACAGCAGAGCAAGCCAGTTTTCTTTGTTAGAGATGCATTGTTCTATCATCACACGGGCAGCACTGAATGCAGGATCTACTAGAAATTTATTGTATTGGTACAAAATTGTGTGCCAGTCTATCAGGCAATCAATCATCAGAGGCACTCCTGTGGTATCTCCACCTTCCAGATTCCCCTTTGACCTCTGACCTCAAGTGGCCTCCTCAGCCACTTGGGATTGGACAGCCTTGTAAGAAACTTCTCATTTAGGGGTCTCAGGAGGGCACTCTTCTCCCACTCCAGAATCTGCTCATTCTCGACGCCGGTGTCACACTTCCAAGTTTCACCGACATCAACCAAACCTGTGATTGAAAGGAAGGAATGTAAAACCATGCTTCCTCTTCTGAAGAGTCCTAGCTTTTTGGTTGCTCAATGTCATCTCATTTGAGGGATAGGTTTTGACGTCAAAACTACTGAAGAAAAAATATCTTGTTTCAGTTTGAGTAATACCTAGAGCTTCAGCAGCTTGTGCACCTTTTAACCCTAACAGTCCTCAGTCCTCCAACAGGTGAAGGATTAAGGACTGTTAGGGGTAATGTGAATTCTTTGTATCAGGGAAGGGGAAGAGGAAAAACAAAGAGGTATAAAGAGGCCCAACCCTTGCTATTTTGTTGTCAAACAATGTAACATCTGTATTTAGTTCATTCATCTCTCCGATTGACAATTCCTGTAATCACCTGCAACTACAGCTCTCCCATGCTTCTCTCCATCCTTGATAATCCTCTCAATGTCTTCCTCGGTATGATCTATTGCCAGAATTGTCTTCCATTCCTCTCCTCCTTCCCAGTCTCTCCAAGCGACATGGATGGCAACCGTTCTTCCTTCCAGTTCCTGGAAGACAGGAGTCCATCTGGTCTCTATGGTTTTGAGCCCATTCAGGATGAAACCTGCATAAGGTTGTCTGGCTGAGATGCACGAGAATGTCTTAGAAGTCGGGGAACTATTCTCTTGATGGTTTCTGTCCTTTCTATCACCATGCCGCTGGTCGGTAGAACCACTACTACAGGTTTCTACATGTTCTTTCTGAGCCACCGTACTACAGAATAGTGGAGAGTTATGTTTTGAGTAAGGAGAATATCGCTGCTGCTTAGTAAATTTTGAATGCATGTAGTCTTTGGATGCCATGGCACGAATGGATACAATAATGGGCTTCTTTGGAAACAGAGGCAGGAGTCGTCTTCTCATTTGAAGAGGCAGTTAACTACAAATTCAGCCATGTCAACAGCTCCAAAATGCCATTCAATTAAGCAAGCCCGATATTCAGTCACAGGGTACGAGTATTAAAACTTTTTAAAAAGTCACACAAATGTCGAAGCCACATAACCAAGGTAAGTTCGTCATATACTCTACAATATCGTGAAATCCTCACATCGGTTCCAATCAATATTCCTGCGGTACTCAAAGTGGTTCAATCTGTGGCCAATGCAATGTAAACATTTGAATAGCGCCACCAAGAGTTGGAATGGTTGAACTTCAAGAAGCAGACGACCAGAGAAAAACGCGCGCAGGCTTGTCCTGCCGAATCCAAGAGGCATATTCTAGTTTTCATGAAAACAAGATTACGCTGAGGCTGATTCGATCATGAATGCTAAAAATTCTTCCAGGAAACGAGAGTCAGGTATGGTTTATGGTCATTAGAGTAATGGCTGAAGGGTGATTTGTGCGGTGATTTTTAATTTTCTAGTTGAAACTCGCAACTTAGCTTAGGCCTATTCAAAATCAAATCAAAGCAATGCTAGGATTCGGACTTGAGTTTTGACGTGTTGGAAATATCCAGTGATATAGCCAAGGCTCCCGACATCATCCAGTGTTTACAGTGAGATGCCATTTCAATACTTTATTTCACTTAGGCCTATGTCCAACTTCAAGCTTGCCAGTGAAGTTCACCAAGTCTGCGGCCAGAAAGGTAGCCACCATCTTGTGTTTGTGTCAAACTCGAAGACGTTATGAAAGTGTCCCTTTTTTCCCCTTTTCCCCCACAGTTTTCAAAGCTCATGTACTTGAAAAACTCTACCCATCTGAAGCCACTGTTCAAGATAAACCACCACCTCAAGAAACAGCAACAAAGACTGAGCTGGAGAGATCTGCTGGCAGTGTTCCAACACGTGCAAAGCTTTACACTGTCCATCCCCCACCTGGTGGTTTATTACAGACTCTTGCACGGAATACCAGTGAAATGTCAGAAAAAAGATTAAAATCCAGCTGCTCTGAATCAGAGTCCAGCAATGATTCACAAGGTATGATGCCTCCAGTGCAGGCCACTTGAGGTTACATATTGTCGTACTTTCGCTGAGAAATCTGTTCATGTTCATGTATGTATTAGAATTACGTCTTTTTCTGAATGCTCGTTTTGTGTTAGATTAATACATAACATGGATTTTACAGCATGGCCACAGTTGCTTTCATATACGTGTATAGGCCTACATAAGTTTCCTTGTTTGGTTTGGGAAGGGAGGGGCAATAGGGATAATCTAAAGGGGTGTGGCTCAGGAGTAAATATTTACAATGTATTTATTACCGGATTTTCCAGGTGCCCATGATAGGCCTGTGAGGAAACGGAAGAGAAAAAAGAAGCATGGGCAAAGGGTAAGGGAGAAAGTTCCTTGTGATACTGCAGAAGTAGACTCGCCCTTGACAAAAGGAGAAGACACACAACCGCAGGTGTCTCCAACGAAATCATCATCACAACCAACAACAGCTGATGCATCACTTACAAAGAACCAAAGGAGGAAACTGAGGAAGAAAAGGGCCAAGCTTGGTAGACTCCAAGACCGGGCACAAATTCAAGCTGAGGAATTTACAGTTGATGTTAATAAACAGAGCCTTATTGGTAAGGGAGATGACAGAGAGTGTGAAGATGAGTCTACTCAGGAAGTGGTAGAGTTCCTGGAGGCAGTGTGGCGAGTATTCAGCTCTGATGGTGAGTAGGCTATCAAGGTTAGATATGGGTCCTTGGTAGAGCTGGCTAACGGGGCCATTTCTTTTTGTACAAGTTAACATTCCTCCAACAATATATTTGGACACATCATACTTGAAAATTAATCAACAAATATATGTACCTGAGCTTTGATTTTGAAAATTCCCATTTCGTGATTAGATTCCCAAAGCTTTATTTATCGCCTATGGAAATTTTTTATTCGCAAACTGCTTCTTGTGGCTTGATTTTTATATGATGGGCAGGTTTTTATCATCAGGAAAATTGACCCAAGATGTTTTCCGTGAAAGGTTAAAATTTTCCTATCGTCTCTGTAGGGAGCAAGACAGAGATTAAGAACTCCATCACCCAACCGTTTCAGACCATGATTGACAAGATGTCAAATGGTAAAATGTCAAAGGAGACTGTTAACCAGATGAGAGACATCAAGAAGTTGTTGGTTCTCCAAGATTTCAGACGGGCACAGATGAAGCTGACTGAGTGCCTTAATAACCAGGCCAGCACATCTGAAAGTGGTGAGTCATAAATCTGGACATATTGGTTGTTAACGTGTGTATATCAGGGCCCAATTTCATGGTGCCGCTTACCACAGAATTCCACGCTTATGATTTCAATTCTTCGCTAACCATACTAGCAGAAAAATTTAGCGCTAACCTTTTAAGCACAGAATCTTTAGTTACCGGATGTACACGCGCACAAGGCAAAATTCCTCGCTAACCCGTGAAATACATTCGCTGTAAGCACAGAATTTTCTGCTATGGTAAGCGCCATTTTTTGCTTGGGCCCAGATGTTAAGTACATGTACGTGTAGATGTTAAGGTGAAGGTGGAGGCGAAGGTGGCAGTATTATTAATATTTGAGGTTGTTCAAAAATTTCATTTAGGAAGCTTCCTTTTTTCAAACTTTTTTCTTACAATAAAATGTAGGGGCAGGAATGTCTGACCCCTTCAATGGTCTATCCCACTGGATCTGCCCAGTGCTTTAATTTGTAGATGGTACATAAACAGGAAGGAGACATCATACTAAATGGCTTATGTCAATGAATAAACTTTGGCTTCAAATTGACAGGCCAACCATTCCTGTTGCCTTGCTTAAGAGTATTATATGATTAATTGTTTTGAATGATGACAAAATGCCCATTGTGCCAGCTAAAGAATGTTCCACACTCTGGTAATGCTAATTAATTGAGACAATTGAAACAAAGTGCTAAGTCTGTCACTGACTAAATTAATCACTTTGCTTTCATTTCAGAAGGGAAAAGAAATATGTGTTTTGTGAAGCAAAAATACAAAACATAATTTCAAGATACAAAAATTTGAAATACAAAAAACCCAACTAAGACAAAATCCCCCAACATCTTGCTTTTAACATCGCAGAGTGTCATGCATAGATTCATACTAAATGCCAGATAAACTTGGGTGGAAAAAACATTGGTATCATTGGCAAAATTACGCATTAGAAGTGTGACCTTGAGCCGTCATAAAATTAGTCTTGAAACTATCGGACACGATTGCCTCTTTGAAAGAGATGCTTGCATAATTTTTCTTCTCTGCCTACAAATTCCCATTCATTTGGAAGCATCACGTCTGGTGGTTGGGTCAACGTTAGCTGTTACTTAACTCGTTCAGTTCAACTCCAAAAATCAAAAAGCTTAGGTATTTTTCCTTTCAATGCATCTTGATAGTTTTGAAGTGTTTGCAGGCAGCAAAATAGTGATTCATCCGTGGCCAGAAAAGTCAAATTCCTGATCTAGCAATTTTTATCGATTATCTGAATATCGGTAAAGATGGGCGGGTATCGAATCGCCTTTGATGACGTACTTGTAGTTAGCTAAAGTCGTGTTCGAGAAGATCCTCTTCGCTGGACAGTTTTTGGGCCAGTAAAATATCTTGCAGGTTAGACTTCAAGCAGGAAGGGAGTCATGTTGTCAAATACATCCATTAAAATGTTTAATTTTGTTGGCTATATTCAATGCGATTAATACAAAATTAAGTCCATGTAGCATCCGCATACTCGGAATTTGGTCATTTTTATATCAACTAGTTGTGCGATGTTCTATATTTTAATCCGGACATACACCTGCAATGGTTTTCTCTTTTGTGTGACAGGAAAGAAAAGCATGGGCTAGACGATACCATTATCAAAAATTACAGTTATTAACACACACGCCTCTAGTTTGATACAGGAAAAAACTCCGTTTGTACGGTCTAGGTTTTGGTCTTTTTTGTTTTTAAATCTAACCATCCTTTAAAATGGGTTAAAGAACTTAATGGTTAATTCTAGTTCGGTGTTTTTATTTTCCAGAAAATATCTCCCTCTTCTCAACGCTCGCTGAATATTGGATGACAGATATTTCAACCTCCTATTCCACATCGGGAAATCTTTGTTGACAAACTTTGCAAAGATTTGTTCACAAGTCGCAGAAAATTCCTTAAAAGTATATATGTTTTATTGTAAATAGAAAGGATTTTGCTCTTTAAAAAGATTCAATGATATATAGAAAACAAGCAATATCTTGGAAAGTCGCAGACCAAACAGTGTCACGTACCGGTATATATGCCACATATAGTTGGATTCCCTTTGAAGCAGCTAGGGTTATCAAACATTACCTAGTGTTCTAGATAGATACGTTAAAACTGTTACAATTATTGCAAATTCGATCGGGCTCAAACTGGTTCGTGTCTAGATAGTGGATGGCGTGCAGATCTTGCTGAAGATAATTGGTAACTTTGAATGGCATTCTAGGGTTTGCGCTTTTTGCGCAAATTGTGAACTTGGAATTGATTAGTCATTGAAATCACTTCTGAGAAAGGGTTGACTGCTTGCTTATTTCTATAAACAAAGAATTACCAAAGAAGAGAAAAAATTAAACTGGCAAAATCATATAAAAATTGTAGAAATAAACTACCGTAACATGGGGTAACTTTTTGTGTAAGTTTGCAAAAAAGTCGATTGAGGGCGCTGTTTATGTCTCATTTCACCGATCTCGCTCACTGTGACTGTCAAACCAAAATATACAAACTGCGCCCTCCTGAGCATACGGGTGCTTTGGGTTCAGTTTGCGGCAAAATAAGAATGGTTAATCATGCCAACAAACAAATTGATAAAATTAAAAAGCCACACCCATCCATTATTATTGCACATAACGCCGTTGAAAACCGCAATACATCAGTACGTTAATATTTGAAGTAAACTATTAATCATGGGTACGTGTCTTCATCGATTATTTTACAACAGCCAACTCTTTGTGTTAATCATGATGTGTAAAACACTCATGTTAATCATTTCCATGTGACTATCGATAGTGCCCCTCAATAGGTGCCGTTCGATACTCAAAAGTGCATCTGACTCCATGTTTACAGTTTAACAGACATTCCAGCTAATGTTGTACTGATGTTGTAAAACAACTATTGGGAATTTTTGTACTTGATGATCCACTGTACATGAGCGTACATGAGGTTGAATAGGTAGGAACAATTCTGATATCTTTGTCTTGTTCACTGTATTGTATTATGTTTCTCTTAAAACGTTAGCTCGATGCAAGGAACAAACACTTTGTCAACATAGCACATGGACATGATGAATTTTCTTCCGGGAAACCCGTGCAATTCTCTAAGTTACTTTTTAATCCCATAAACATTACCAAACTGTAGCTTTTGACGATCAGTCGATGAAAGCGGACGAAAAGACCCTCTTTGATTCTCCCCGGGCTTAAGTGCGCCTTAATTGACAATCGAGTGTTCCGTCTACCACAGCGGCTCATTAATCTTGAAGACACTTATTCGACAGACGAAGTCTACGATGATGAAACCCAGGGACCACCATTGTGCTTTTCCTGTCGTTTTCATTGGATACTTTGCCGAATTCATATCTTGGCAACAGAATGCTATAGCTAAGACCTAAGCACGAAAAGTATTTTAGGAATTTTCGCAGCATTTTCAGAGCCACATGGCTAATAAATAATAGACATATGCTCACTGTTGCTGTTGTGTATGGTGCATTTAAGAATGTGGACAATTTTAAACCTTGTTACAGTATCAATGTGATTGTTCCTCGCAACGGAACAATCACATTGAATTTACTCTGCCAAAAAGAAGAATGCAGGCAAAACCCGTCTAATATTGTATTCCATTATTTGGTAAGAAAGAGTTGGCTCACGTCGCGTTTTCGGCATTGAGAACGTACCCGAAAATCAGGTGTTTTAATTTTGCTTGACATGCATTGAAACTTGTTTTGCGTCTGATATTTGACATTGTAATCTAACGCAAGAAATTGAATTAAACAGTGAGCCAGAAGAGGTGAAAGGCCGCAGTTTGGGCTTTTAGTCCTTTTGTTTACTATTCCATTTCCAATGACTGTCTACTTCCCTCTGTCGCCTCCTGTTGTCAGAGAACGGAAATTGTATTCGGGCTTTTTGTCCCAAACATGCATATGTCACGTTATTGAATTAGTCTTGGTTTTAAGCTGTTCTTATCTGTATTTCCGCGTACAGCAGTGTGATTGATGACCGTGCATTAATTGAATAATCTAGCATTAAATTTGACGGGCAAACAAGTTCTCGTGCCTTTCAGGTCGGTGCTGTGTATTAATTCTCTTGTCAAGCTGTTATCATGGAGAGTTGACGCACTTTTTGAGATGGTCAGAACTTTAACTGGTAAAAGTTTTGAAAGGTGAAGGCGGATGTTTCTTTGCAATGGGTGGATTCGATGATATATTTTGTGCGATCCACAACAGTGTGCCTCCGAGAGTGTGCAACGCGTTAACCAATCACAGAGCGCGAAATCTGTCGACCCTTTTCAAACGCGCATTGGGAAGGGTTGAGAGATTTCGCGCACTGTGATTAGTGAACGCGTTGCAAAATCTTGGAGGCGCACTATTGTGAAATGCCCGCATTGTTTGCTTTCAGTTCTTCTGAAAGGTACATGTATGGCTTGTGGGATTTTAGTTTAGTCTTGAAATGTTGTTTGATGGACCTCAAAATTTGTCTTTTTTTACTTATGAAATTAGCTGAATGCTCTAAAGTAGGATCCTACCCTTCTGTGTTTACGAATGGCACAACTCGGATCACGCCCTTGCCTTGAGCACCACGTGTCTATTGTAAGTGAACAAGAAATTATTAATATTTCTCAATATCTGAATACTTATACCCACGTGAGATACAGGGTGATCCCCACCAAAAAAGCAACCTAAAAGTATCATTTATTTCACTAGTTATAGACGTATAGGTCAAGACGTATCTATGTCAAACAAATGCAATAAAAGGTTCAGGTTGACAGGTCAAAAGAAATTTTCATCAGCAAGTGACAATGTAAGAAGCATATCTTTTTTTCAATACCAGTCAGTGCGGGGTATCTTGGATTGGTACGTCTACAACTTAATACGTGTTATGCAGCACGTGACCAGATGTACCATTTAAATGTTAATCTGGAAGATGTTATCTGCCCTTTTGGCAGTTACACTTATATCAGTGAGTTGATGGGTGAGATCACTCGTCAACTTTGTTCGTCAGCATTTTATAGAAACCTTTAGTGGATACCAGCGCCTTTACCACGGCTATAAAAGGATGCAGTTCTCCTATACAAGTCACCTTATACGGTCTGAAATTGTTGACCGTCACGCGCTTTTATTTATTTATTTATTTTATTTATTTTTTTTGTTTTTTGGTGCCAAGGAATGGTCTGTAATCATCTGTAGCCGCGATCAAAGTACAGAACTTCTAAGGCAATAGCTATCCCTGTTTACACAGCGTCTCCTCAATCCAACGACCGCCAGATAAATCATTGACTATAATTGAATTAATCCAGTTGCTGGTACACCGTCAAGCACAGTCCTGCACGGAGCCGCATGTTGTTCTCTGTCGCTTTAGATAATGCTGCTGTGAGTTGAACTGAGGATACGGTGTTCGCAGGAAGAGGTTCATTGGTGAACATGACAGATGAAGTTTATCGTTATTCGGTACTTGGGAGCAACTTAGTGTCGTGTATATGTCTGACAACTGTGTTTTGTATCCTTGGAGTTTTTCAGGCTGGATGTGAAGATTTCAAAGCATTTGCCCTTATGGTTTTTCTGAGATTTGGATACGTCTGTAAGCGGTGGATAAGTTACTGTTTGACAAACTTCTCTCAAAAGCCTTCAAATAAAGCATTTGTCGACTTACACACGGCAAAGAATAATACCGTTAGCAGTGAGATCAGAATATGGAGAGCATAGCATCGACTTGTGATGTTTTTAATACTTTGAACTTGACTGCTGTTGAGAGGGGTGTACTCAGTGCGCTATTCTACAACTTCTTCGACAGGGTGGTCATTGTGTGTGTTCAGCCAGTCATTGTCGCCCTTGGGTTGCTCACCAACGGGTCGTTCCTCTTCGTTGTCGCCCGCGTGCCTCGCATGTGGACGGTGACGAACTTGTACCTTGTCCAGCTGGCGGTAGCTGATGTTATGTTCCTGGTTCTAACCGAGACACAAAGAATAGTTTATTTCCAAGCCTCACCTCTCATTTTGGACATGAGTGTGGTAGGGTTTGCAGGGAGTGTTACCTTATATTTCTTTGTTCAATTTCTCCACACAGCGACTATGATACTTGTGACCGTTGTGGCGCTTGAGAAGTATTTTGCAATCTTCAAACCTTTTCTTTTACGGGCATCTTGGGTTCGTGGAAACCGAAAGCGAGCTGTCAAAATGAGCATAGGAACATGGATATTGGCGGCTCTTTTGGTCAGCCTAGTCGGACCCTGGCATAATGGCTTTGTACTTACTTGTATCGTTTGGCCGGAGTACTCTAGCTTTGACGGTGTCCCTGATCGCGTCTACACTTTGAAGGACAATTCTGAGGATATGAGCACTTACGAGTTGGTGACGATGCCTCAGAGGGATTCGTTGGTGTATACCATCACCTTTATTGTCATTGCCTCAGTCAACTCGGTCGTGTTTGTCCGTATCATACGAGCCCTGAAGCTGCGCGTTGTGCCTATCGGGCAGCAGAACGCTGTGTTAGAAGCGCGAATCACACGCACCAGGAACCAAGTGACTTGGATGTTGGTCATCAACGGTGTCCTGTTCTTCGTCTTGATGGCTCCAAGTAAAATCTACGCCTTGGCTAGGACTATTTCCAGGGGATCTGGCCACGAGGTGTTAGACAATCTCCAGCGGTCGTACGTTACTAACACCTTCAGCATTTTGACATACCTAAACTCTGCCGTTAATCCCATTATCTACAGCGCCGTTAGTCTTCGTTACAGACGAGCATGCCGTAGAGCATTTACAGTCAGACAGAGAAGGATAACATTTCTTAAGTGAAAAAGAAATGAAGTGTTACATCTTAACGTGCATAATGCTTTTACCTTTGCTAACTGTATAAGATGAAGTAGCACTTTCATGACACTTTTATGCCAGTGTGTTCCGGATAATATTCCAGGGACGCCTTGCTTATGACCGGAGAAACGAACTCTGTACGTGAGACCAACATTTTTATCAGAATGATCTGGTATGAACAGTAAGTAATATTGCTCAATGGCACACCCACCCATCTTCGATTTCCCTCGTAAATTGTCGTGGGGTATTCACTGGTTTGCCAAGAGTACATCTCTGTTGACCGTTTTAGATGATAACTTGCTCTCGATGGGCATTCATTTACCGGTAGCTGGCAAATGTAAACGGCGTACCGCGGATTGATTGTATTAAACTCCCACGCTTTATTATTTGTTAGTCACGTTTGAACGACGTGCTACGTACACTATCGTATTGGCTGCAAAGTACATAACTGCAGTGTATTTTGATCTTCTGTCTTGTCGTCTTTATCCTATAGGATCATTTTGCTGTTGTATTAATTCCTGATACTGAACAGGATTTGCTCAACGCCTTCTCCCTTCCCCAGCAGCGTTCTTCAAATTTTCCACTACATTTACTTTAGGTTAACTGTTCTTAAACATTGGTTAAATTTGACTGAAATTCGGTATTAGTGGAGTTAATTTGACGCTGCTGTCGGGTTTTGTATCGCTGCTCAGCAGTTTGCAGCATAATTTTCACGGTGCACCCGTAAAAGCCTCAATGCGCTTGGTTTTGTTAAGCACTTGTACACCATGATCTGACTAGCGTCAATGTTTCACATTGATGACGTTTATCTTACCTATGAGGCCTAGGGAACTCAGGGGAAGAATAAAATTGAGAAAACACACACGCGGAATAAAATTTTGACAAAATCAGAAAAGAGTCAGACAACCTTTCTTGGGGTTCCTATTAAGTACTTTGATTTGTTTCGCATAACTCTGCAATTTGATTGTGTTTTTGCGGAAGTTTCGAAAAATATTATTGATTTTTTTTGGTTCAACTTAAGGTTGATCAGAATGCAAAGTGGCATTTACAATACATGTACATGTATGTATAAAACGTAAGCACATGCACATTGATGAATTCAAATTAAATAATGACCTTGCAAACGTTGAGAACCGTTTCATTTTTTAATATTTATTCATTATGCTATGGTGTACCGGACTATTTCGCATTATAATGTACTGCAGGCCCCCAAAGCCTGAGTTCGTTTGGATTAGTTCAGATCATAACAGGTCCTCGATTTTTGCATATTGCCAGAGGCCTGTAGTTCAATCGTGACAGTGTCTGACCCAAGACATTCTGAAGTTCAGCGTGTACTTTTTTTGTTGTCTTAGGATAGCATGATTTCCTCTCAATCTAAGTAGTGTCAATATTTTCCTTGCCGGCCTGTATGTCCTAGTCACGTTTCTCATCAGAGATTTCATTGAAAGTTGTGTTTTTGCGTTGATCTTTCATTTTAAAATGACAACCTTTTAAAAAATCAGCCCACAAAACATTTAGGCCTGTTTACTTTGTGTGGACGAATTTAATCGACTCAGTCACGTTCAGGAAGTACAAGTTTCCTTCGGCTGGTGGTCACGTTTAATTTTTTTTTGATCGATACTACCGTGATGTTTGTAGATAGCCAAATAATTGTTTGCTGATTTTTCCTCAATGCTCATGGATCACATAGATTTTCCATCGCATTACGACGTATCTCCCTTCTCGACATTCCTCAATCAATTGTGGTAAGCCCTACAAACCCCACGATATGTAGTGCATGAATTCCGTTCACTTCTTGATTTTATGCAGAATAAAAGAAGCTGTTTTGTTCTATTCCGTTTAAATATCTGGCCTTGCCATTAATCATTCCAAAAAGTAAACATTGTACACTACTTGAAAGCTAAAAACGTGGACAGGTTCTCTATTGATTGATCCGTAGCTTTTCGACCGCATGTAAAAAGAACAGGAATCATGTACCTAGGACTGGAAAAAGTCACCACCTAATTTGTCATCCTTTGCAGTTTTTAATTTGGGTGGGAGATCTGTACACTTGTTTGCCTAAAGCACGTCTCATGACGTGGCATGACATGATTAAGAGAAGTCTACGATATTCCAGTGTTACTCGTCGAGGGCTTTTCGAGTGCAGACATCTGAATGTTTATTCATAGTCAAATTTCAGCCCTGTCCCATGCAACTTGTCTTGAATGAGGGCGTCCATTGCTTCATTCTGCGCAACCGTGAAGTGGGATTTCCAGTCCCCGACCTTTCCTAAAATGACCCAAACAAATATAAATGCAACCTACACCAGTGTCCGTATAGCAGGTCACTTATTTTTACTGTTGCTTTCCAGCAAGCTTTAATTTTTAATTATTTTTCATCCCCAGGAGACTTGTGTCAAGTGGAGGGTTGTAGAGGGAAAATGGTCGTTGATCTTGGGTCATTCCTTGATAATTGGACCGAGCTGTGCGTCTTCCAAAGGGTATGGCTACGGCTAATAGCAACGCACACGTTAATGAGAAATACGTTAAGCCGTTGTTACCAATTACTTGCATTAGCACCGCTACTGCCAATAGTTTTACAACAGCCTCGTCCAGCATATCTTAAACAAGGTGCTACGCAACCCTTTCATATATCTTAAACACTAGTTGTTATAGAGATGTCAATACAGCTTTAGCCGGTATTACCAGCAGGTCCCCTTTGCCAAGTTTATAACCTTTTCCTGCTCATAACCAACCTTTCCTCATGAAAGAGCTTCCTTCAGGCAAGTCTTTCTTGTCAAACAGGCTGTCGAGTTGAGCCATCTTGTTTCTCTTCATGTTACTGAAAGTGCAGTGCTCCGTAATAATATTGATAGTCTCATCAGACAGTTTCTTGCCCAGAAATCGACAAACTGTCTCAACAGTACCTCGTAGGTCCTTGAATCAAATGAAGAACTTATAAGTGACGTATTTCAAAATGACTACCATCTGTGCTAGTAACCTAGGGTGATGTGGTGTTAATACACAAGCCAACACCGGTGTTGTTATTGGTTCGAATAAATCGTAAGTCGTTTTTTATTTAACCAATTCTTATTGATACCTACCCGTTTAATGTCTTCAAATCGCAGCACAAGAATATTCTCGTCATGTCTTCGATTCCAAAAGTACAGGTAATGATCCCACCACGGCCCATAGTGATCTTGGATTGAAACAGAAAAGATACCGTTAAGCATAAGATTCCTTGGAAGATCAGTGCATCGATCTATCATCCATTGTGCCGTACTCGGACCAGTAGCCCTGGCAATGGGGAAGTCTCCCTGCTCTCACTGTTTAACTTTGGGAAATGGGATGAACCCACCCAGTCACCCAAAAAACACCATGGTAATCCATCTTCTTTGCAATTTCAAACCGATCACATTAAGAATTGGTTTTAAAAAAATAATAGTCCCCCCCCAAAAAGGTTTGATATACCATAATTATTTCGCTGTTCACAGTCTGCGGGCAACGGAAGTGGCACGCGCCTTGCCAAAAGAATAGAAAGCACCTACTTGTTCCTTTTAGCATTTCTTGGAAGAACTCATCAAACGTCTTGTTGAGTACCTTGGGATCATTTCGGCACAATTTGGAAAAGTGGAAAAAAGACACTGAAACATCCTTTGGGTTCCTCAAGACGTAAACAATCTTGGGTTTCTTCTCCCATATCTGAGGAGGAAGGAGCTGACCAGGCAGATGACTTTTGAGAAGCCGCGGTGAAGGTGTCTCCCCCGCAATTTGGAGAGAATCTGGGAGCTGCAAGTAACGATTGAGGCAACTTTCAAGAAAGACATTTGGTGCAGTGACTGAACAGTAAATCCTGTGTTTTTGTCTTAATACAAGGACGTGAATTATTGGGGAGTTTGGAAATCTGCTTCTCACAACTGCACTTCCTTGTCCTGGTTGCCTGCCATTGCAGATTTTGAAACCCCAACAGGATGGGATGTACGGGTTTGCAGTCCTACGTCACCTGGTTCCGTCAAAGTTTGGAGGAAGGATTCTGGAGCTCTCCCTATAAAACTTAATTAACCAATTTTCAATCAATTTCAGCTACATGTCAGTTTCCTGAGTCTTCTGAGCTACGGTACCCTTTTATGTCAGCCCCTAGTTTCATCTTTAAAGAGAATTATAAGAATACTCAAAGCATACCAACCTTTTTCAGTAGACGTAATTGTTCCGAAAAATCATGCTCAATGAACAGCACCCGGAATGTTGTGTGTTTGTTGTTGACAGTGTCCAAGTCGCCGTCATGCATTATGCAGGACACAATCTCTTGGACCCAAGTTGTGCCTATATATGATTAAAAAACAACATAAATTCTACAAACAGTGCGAAACATTAGCCAGAATAGGAAAATTGTGCTCCAAGACTTAAGTGTCAAGATCCCATAGTACTCGAAAGTGTCGCTGTCACATTAGTTTGCTGATATCTTCAAGTAAAGAAGACAATGAAAGAAGCGTGCTCTTTGTAGTGTAAACCGAAACCATCAAGTTGAGCTTGTCCAGCTTCTCCCCGTCTGATTGTCTTTCTCACCTGTTTTCATGAATGTCACGACCCAGATATCATCCTCTCTAACTGTCCATGTCTTGAGACCTTCCACGTTCTTGGCCATACTTTGATACAGCTTGATTCCTTCGAACTCTTCGTCGGGCAGGTTCATGAGATTTGATTTCTGCCATAGTTGCTGATCTGTGTATCAAGTTGTTGAGGTAGACCATATTTCAATTTACGAGCCAAGTATCTAGTTTTACTCTGCATGAAATTTCTTCGACGTGGTTGTGAGTAGGGATATCATGCCGGCCAGGCTTTTGAATAACAAAGTATTGTCTAGGTTTTCGTTGGGGCAGAAAAGCAGCCGCGCACCTGGTACCCATAAATGAAACAAGAAAAACGATCAGCCTACAAATCGTAAAATTAAGGCTGTAGAATTTGTAGGCCTACGTACATTCCTCAAAGGTGACATATTTTTCCATGGTTCCTGTAGAATGTTGCTGCCTTGAGTAAGCTGACACTACCTGTTAAAAGGAACATATAACTGTCAGAAACGATTTTGGTGTGCAATAATGGTATTTGGAACAATATATTCTGGGAATGCTGCTTAATTTACATTGCTTATAGCAAAGAGTTATCAACAGATAATAATAAAACTGAGATAAAAATGAAAAAAGACTTACACCAAAGTATTCCGCAGTAAATGAAGAAAGTGGACTAATGTGGGCGTGACGATGAACCCTTGTCTATTGTCGAAAATTACATTCCTACTCTACAGACTACTCCTTGCACAATTAGTAACGCGTGACAGTACGTGTGTTGAGATGAATGGGTTACATGAGAGATTTATGCAGTATATCAATTGCTTCGTATTCTTTCCTCCGTGGTATAGCCATGTCTACGACCGCGCTTAGACCAGATCCTGCCAAGGGGGATCGCCATCCACTAAGATAATAAAACTAAGGGCTGGGTATTATACTAACCACAAATAAACCAGGCCGCTTTTACACTGAATCTCGATCCTGATTCGATCCTCTCTGCGACGGAAGGTCACCAAGTATTCGTTCTCGCCGTACTAATTGGGGTCATTTGTCACGTTGGTATTGACCTTTTTCACCCACGTGACTAAATGCAAACAATACCACCCCGTGTGGACCGCCTTGGACTCGGTGATCGCTTATAGGCCTATTCCTACGGGCATGCTTTAACCACATGCAACGCTGTATGCTTGACTAGCTTATCTTCAATTGACCTTTTTCTGCTGTGATGTCCGATCGTGCTGGACCTATGGTGTGTTGCGATGGTAATGCATGCAAAGTGTTGTGTTTGTAATCTACTTGTAGACCTTTAGGTCTTTATGTAGACCTGGAAAAAGTCTATGTAAACTCCGCGCAAACACGTACGCTTTAGACCTAGCTTCTGTAAAGATTTCGTTTCAACTTCCTCATCGTTAATACATGTATGATACGGCACATATAGGGGTAGTTGCCATTCACTCTTTATTTAATTCTTGTCGATGTCGGACCTAAACGTCTACGAAAATCTGTTGCATGTTCAATTTTGCATCACCTTTCCACAGTTTCCTGACTGTGAAATAAATTTGCTGTCTTTGTCCTTTTAGTTTGACCACTGACAAAGACGAGCTTTTCGGGTAATATTTCGCATTATTGGACAAGAAAGAAACTGTTAGAATTCACAAGAAGTACTGACCAAACTATGTTGGAACTGATCATAAGCTTCATGGGTAAACAGAACATAATGCGCTCTTCCTCATTTCAACGTTGAGGGGGTGCTTCTGCACGTAGCAATTGACGTACAACCACTTACTGCTATTCTATTTTGTTTAGACTTCCCGTTTTTTTCGCGCAAAACGAAAAGAATGATGCAGCATGCATTAAATAATGTAAACATATTGCAACAGCTAAATATTGGGTAGGCCTATTTCGAAACCAAGATGCACAAGTGTCACAGACTAATCAAGAAGTTTAGTCAACCTGTATTCAATAATGAACAATGTTATAGAGTTAGTGGAGATCGATGTATAAGACAGATTCCAACGCACAACACTTGACTAGAATTCGCGTATGTCCTCGTTTCATTTAGGATTGCAAAATACTGTATGAAGGAAATTTGAATTTGACATTTTCAGATTTTTAACACAGAAAAACAAAACATACAGTCTTCTGAAAAGGTGCTATAAATACATTCAACACATTCGCTTGAAACTCTATTTATTAAATCAGAAGTAAAATTAAATTTTGTGTGTTCGGCCCAAATATTAGCAAGTTTGATCCTACGTCAAGAATACATAGCCTCTCCTCTAATAAAGATGAAAAAAAATCATAAAAAGCATAGTTATGTTTCTACAGACTTTCACAGTTCACATAACTGGGTGTTAATGATTATAATTTTTGTATATGTCTCGTATTGGGTGTGTAGTTACTGAAAATGAATTATTGATACGTTTGTAAACGTGGCTTGTGAGTTGTGACTGTTCGGCATGAAAGGCAAACAAGTCAAAGGGTTACGCCAAAATGAAGTGTTTAATAAAGTACAATCGAAACAAAATTATAGCGAGGAAAATGGGTTATTTGTGAAAAGATGTTGCATTGTGGTAACTTCCAATCTGAAATATTTGTGAGTGCTTCAGACACAACCGAAAACCATCCTTTCAAAAATATCAGTTTTTTTATTGCTGTCAACATGAATTTTAAAGGAATTTGTACAAATGGCAACAAATGCTCATTCATGAAGGCATTAATCAATGTCGAAATGATCACGCGAGAGTTTACAGACACCGTACAATGCGACATAAAGTTTGATTTCAAATTTTGTTCGGCGGGTTAATGCAAACAGTGGAGGTACGCAACCTAGAAAACCATTCTTTCATTTTTTATTTATCCTGGACGGGATAAATGCAAAAATATTGCACAGTTATCATTCATACGAGATAAAATGTTTCACACATGACGTGTAATTGTAGCCTTTCGATTGTAAACAGGAATGGAAGGAAAGACCTAATTTGCTGCATAAAAAATCTTCTTTCCTGGTGACAAAATCTTTGTTCCCAAATTTAGTCGTAGAAAGTTCTGTGTCAGCCGTTGAATAGCTCCCGAGTAGAAACATCCGACTGTCTACTCGAAGTCAAAAGTTAGCCCTGTCCCATGCAACTTGTCTCGAATGAGGGCGTCCATTGCTTCATTCTGCGCGACCGTGAAGTGGGATTTCCAGTCCCCGACCTTTCCTAAAATGACCCAAAAAATATCAATGCAAAAATTACTAATCTACACTGGTCTCCGTGTAGCAGGTGACGTATTGTTACTGGTGTTTTCTTGCATCAAAGTAGAAGAGCTTGAGCCACTGTTTAAATACCAATGGCTTATATGAACGCGCATGTTAGCACAGCAACTGCCACATTTTGACGAAAGCCATATCCCATATACTTTCCGTTTCTTAGATATTAAATACAGCTTTACTACCTTTCAGGACTTAATTGTATAATAGCACTGTAGTTGTCACTTAGGTAAATTTCTGGTTTTTTGTCAACTGAATTCCTTCTTCCCACTCATAACCGACCTTTTCTCATGAAAGAGCTTCCTTCAGGCAAGTCTTTCTTATCAAACAGGCTGTCGAGTTGAGCCATCTTGTTTTTCTTCATATTACGGAACGTGCAGTGCTCCGTAATGGCATCGATTGTCTCGTTAGACAGCTTCTTGTCGAGAAATTGACTGATGTTCTCAACAGTGCCTCGCAGATCCTGAAAGAACGCGAAGTGACATTTTTTATAGGCACCCGATCCGACTACCCACTGTGACTTATAAGTGAGGCTAGTCAGCGTCATGAAAATGTGCAAACAGAAGGCTCGAACGAGCCTTACTTATAAGTTTGCCTACTGTATTGCATCATCCGACAATATATTAGCATTACAGTTAAAGTGTGGCTATTTTGCTGCACATGCCTTGCTTAATACGTAGCGGTGGGTAGTGGGATCGAGTGCTTAAATTGAATAACAAGTTGCAAGTAACCAAAGTAGATGTCTGGTAAGAGACAAGTTGTAAAAGGTTGGTTGATGAAAACGGTTTCTGATGATACCGGTTCGAATAAAAGGTAAGTTGGTTTTTGAATAATTTTTGAAATTCAATAGTTCTTATTGACACCCACCCGTTTAATGTCTTCAAATCGCAGCACTAGAATGTTCTCGTCATGTCTTCGTTTCCAAAAGTACAGGTAATGATCCCACCAAGGCCCATAGTGATCTTGGATTGAAACAGATGGGATGTCATTGAAGGACAAGATACTTTTGGAGAATAATTGATCGTGAACCAATACTCTGATCCACTATGAACTGTGCACTACTCGGGCTTAGAGCCCTGTTAGTAAGGAAGTATCAGTCCTCCCTCTTTCTGATCAGGTGGTTGTGGGAACCCCCCCACCACCACCACCACCAATAAAAGTACCGGTTATATTATCTTTGTATAAAGAATTGGTAGAAACGTCTACAAACAATATTACAGTACAGTGATTATGGTCAACACTAATACTAAGTACAGCGCCAAAAAATAAGAAAGCACTTACTTGTTCCTTCGAGCATTTCTTGGAAGAACTCATCAAACGTCTTGTTGAGTACCTTGGGGTCATTTCGGCACAATTTGGAGAAGTAGAAGAAAGACACCACAACATCTTTTGGGTTTCTCAAGACGTAGACAATCTTGGGTTTCTTCTCCCATATCTGAGGAGGGAGGAGCTGACCAGGCAGATGACTTTTGAGAATCCGAGGAGAAGGTGTCTCCTCCGCAATTTGAAGAGTATCTGGGAGCTGCAAGTAACGATCGAGGCAACTTTCAAGAAAGACAGTTGGTGCAGTGACTGGACGGTAAATCCTGTGTGGTTTTTCGGTTTCTTGCAGAACTGTAACGTTTTTAAGAGTTCGGAAATCGGCTTGTCATAGTTCCTGGGTCCTCTGAGCTGCCATATTTAAAATGTGTCTGCCTCCAATTTCAACATAGAAGAAAATTGAAGGAATGCTTGAAGGATACCTACGTTTTTCAGTCGACGTAGTTGTTGTGGAAAATCGTGCTCTATGAAAAGCACTCGAAATGTCGTGTGCTTGTTATTAACAGCTCCCAAGTCGCCATCATGCATTATGCAAGACACGATCTCTTGGACCCAAGTTGTGCCTATGATAAACAACATAAATGTAATTCTATAAACAATGCGAGTCATTATCCAATGTAGGAACCTGAGAGGACTAACACTTAAACGTCAAAATAACAAAGTACTCAAAGTGTTGCTGTCACATTCTCATAGTTTACCCAATGACTGCAAACATTTTTAATAAACAAAAAAATGCTTTTTGTCAATTCAAACTATCAAGTTGAGCTTATCCGTGATTGAGCT